TTCAGATTCAAAAAAGAATGCTAAGCACCTAACCAAGAAGACAAAAAAAAAATGCTATTGAGCAACCTTTCCAGGACTATAACGATGTGATTTATGTGTTTTGAGAAGCAGTCATAAAGAAATACAAACTGAAACTATTGGTTTTGAAATATTGTAGACTAAATAGTGTGATAGATCTTTTTGCTTTTTGAGTAGACATGCCATTTTACTAGCTTGTCCAAGCACGGTTTTCAATAAGCAGTTTGAATGATAAACAGAAATTGGCAATCTACTGGGAATACCGTAAAATAAGATAGGAATCATATTGGAATCGTATTGGAATAAAATAGGAACCGTATTGGAACCGTATTGGAATAAAATAGGAACCGTATTGGAACCGTATTGGAATAAAATAGGAACCGTATTGGAACCGTATTGGAATAAAATAGGAACCGTATTGGAATCGTATTGGAATAAAATAGGAACCGTATTGGAATCGTAACAAAGAAAATGTCATAAAAACAAGGCTAGCCCGTCTTGTCGCCTATAATTCTGAAACACCCTGTACAAGTTTTTCTAGGTGATGTGGCCATTAGCTGCTGGGGCCTACATTGATAATCAACAAGAGTGCATCACAAGTGCCACTGGTGATGGAAAAGTAAGAACTATAAATTCAACTTTCAGCTCACTGGCATTGTTGTTATTAAAACGTTTCAGTTGAAAAGAAAGATCGACTACGATTGTGACATATTGGATGAGAAATGTTCGGCTTACACCGCCTCATCCGATTCGAAAAAGGCCATTATAGTGGCATGGAGGTGGGCTGGTACAGCAATTGAGAAACAGAAAAACTATTTACTAGTTCAAATCATTTGTGTAATATAATCCATGGTCAACTTGGTCCCTACCAACCAGTAAGCTTTCTTTCTAGAGGCTCGCAGATCAATGCCGAGGTTCCAATGGAAGTTCTTGACATTCTCTTTGGAAAACAGGTATCTCGTTTTCCTTGTTAGATTAGTATTAGGTTGAGGAAAAAGATGCGCGTTTTTTGGTTTTAACAATTTATTGCATTCGGCAAGAAATTGCAACTATCAATCAATAAGGTATTCTCCATTTTTATCGATGACTTCTTCCCATCTTTGACGCAAATCCTTGTAAAGAATTGGGGATTTTTCAAGCCAAAATAGTTATCGACCGCTTTTTTTTGACTTGAGCATGATCATCAGACTTTTCTTTCAAGATAAACTGATTCAGAAATAAAAAGTAAACTGACGAATCTAAGGCTAAGTGAGGAGAGTAAGGGGCATGAGGAAGCAACTTTTAGCCCAGCTCGTCAATTTCCTTGTGAGTTTTTCAGTGTGGGGTTTCGCGTTATCGTCCAAAAATCGAATTTTTAATGGATTGAGCCCCAATTTCTTTAAAGTATTGTTAAATTAAGTCAATTGTTTTGAATAGAAATCAGCATCAATGTTTTCTCGTGGATCAGTTAACTCATAGTGCACCAAACCTTTTGAGGTCCACCAGCAACAGAGCATTATTTGTTTTTCATGAATATCAGGTTTGAAAGTGGCTTGAGGGGTTTTTCCGGTAGAGAGCCATTGGTTCTTTCTTTTCACATCCTCGTAATTAATCCAAGTTTCATCAGATTTCAAAATCGAATCCCAAAAACCACCAGCTTTGCATATATGAAGCAAAAAGAATTTACATTGACGTGATTTGTTTTGTTGTCTTGAGTCAGTTCGCGCGGGATTTATTTACCACAGCAAATTTTGTTTCCCGAGTTGGTGGGAATAGTTTTCGATTGTTTTCTGATCAACATCAAATATTTCTGCAAGCCCGCGAGTCGTGAGTGTTGAGTTGAAGTCATTTTTCATTCCCCAATACGAAATCCAAAAAAGCGCATTATTTTTTTCCTCAACTTAATAGTTCATTTTATAAATCGGACTTCAGTGTAACTAAAATTTTCAGCGTGTGTTCCCAGGTGGTGCCAAAGTGGCCGATTTCTTCTATGATGCCTTCTTGAATTTGTGGAACAGTGGGATTAAGGACGATTTCTTGACGCTCAGACAACAATATCCTGATTATGAGATTTGGGTGAGATTTTGACGAGACATTATACTTTTAAAATAAATCCCCAAGTGACATCTATAGTTTTTGTTACTGATTTGAGATTCATTAAAATCTACGATATATAAAGAGACTAAGACGCCTGTCCGCCCGTCTGTCCGTGCTGTCTGTCCGTCTGTCTGTCCGTGCTGTATGTCCGTCCTGTATGTCCGTCTGTCTGTCCGCCTGTCTGTCTGTCTGTGCGCGCTACCCCTCAGCCCTCAGAGGACCGTTTGCAATGATTTTTGCGCCGTTGAATAGGGAATTACATGTAGTTGTGCAATGTGCTTTTAGATTTTTTAAAAAGCAAAATTCGAGAGCACAGGGATTTCGAACCCGGATTGTATGGGCGATAGACCGGCGCGCTATCCACTGCTCCACGGCAACAAAAGTCCTTGATCCCCAAAAAATCGACAAAAATCCGCCGTTAGGCGTGTTTCTTGGCTGGTCAGATATAAAGGAACTAAGACGTCTGTCTGTCTGTGCGCACTACTTCTGCCGCGCCCAGTGGGCCGTTTCAAATAATTTATAGTTAGTTTGGCTTAGAATTCCATGTAGCTGTGCAACATGTTTTTAAATTTTTAAAAAACCAAAATTGCCGACGCGGGCGGGAGTTGAACCCAGGTCGTGTGAGCTAGAAACAAGGGCGGTCGCACTGCGCCATCTACTAGAGCATGACCGTTTGGTTAACGCGCGCGTCTTTCAAACGAACAGAAGAGAGAGGTCGCGGGTTCGCCTCTTCTCGCAGCCAAAAATTTTTACTGCAAAGCAGCAGTGAAGCTTCTGTTCTTTAAGATAACTGGACATTCTCTTGGCGCTGCAATGGCTGGTCTCTGTGCCGGATATTTGGCCGAGCTGGGATTGGTGCCGGTGAATCAGGTTGAATCCCTGGTAGAAATCCTTATCGAAACATGAATTTAGATGAAACTGATGACTTTTGGCGAGCCGAGAACCGGAGACAAAGCCTATGCTGCTCTCATTGATTCGGTCGGTTTTTCTATTCACTTACTATTAAATAAATAGGGTTACCGATAAATGATCGATAGTATCGCTAAAGGTATGAATGATGACAATGAACAATGAACAATGAAAATGAAAAATGTACAATGAAAAATAGCATCGTTTTAAGTATCAGTGGCTAACTCTAACGCAAAACTCCGTCTAGCGTTTTAGAATAAAAAACTAGACCATCAAAACAAAAGTAAAGCCGTAATAGAACAAAAGTAAAAAAAACACTCTTTTTTAGCTTCCCTATTCCTATCGAATTGTCCACAATCATGATCCCGTTCCTCACGTCCCACTCAACATCGAGAACTACGAGCATCATCGAACTGAGGTACACTTTTTCTTGTTAACAAAAACATTTCTCATTAGATTTACTATTCAAACACGATGGCCAATGGAAAACCATTCACGGTTTGTGTTGGAGACGAGAGCCAGTTAGTTTTATGATGTACAAAGTTCATAAAGAGAAAAGAGAACAACTAGGAATTAAGGAAAAGGAGCAGATTAAATTAAAGTAGATTGGAAACTTTGTGAACAAGTAGAGGACTGGCCTGACCAAATTACTTGACAATGAGAAGTATACTGAAAAGCTTTGAGTCGGCTAGCCAGAGCATTCCAGATTTTTCATTTCCAGCTTGGCTTTTTTCGCTAGATAGACGAGATCAATAATTTCCAGCAAATGTTCCGAAGGAGTTCCCATTCTTCTCACAAATGTCCTGGATCATCTCGATTATTATGGTGAAGACGTTGTGGGATACTTTGAGAGGGGATGTGTCTACAAAAAGTGAACAAGATCTCTTTGACAGTCATCTCTTTGACAAAAAGCAATAAATTCTCGCTTTGATTAACGCTAATACACACATTTTTTAAAAGAAAAATCGAAAAGCTAAACAGACCGTAAATTTAAATCAAAGAAAACCATTATTGCTTTAAATATTTGTTTGAGAAAATTTTGCAATAATAACGGCTTCATTACCATTTATTTACAAATGCAATAATTTCTTTCAAAAACATTTCACTTTCATTATCATTATCGACTTGGGAAATACATTAGTATTTTGTTCTGATGTACTTTCTAGTAGTAACTCTTGGAATTTTGTTTCACTACTTTGACACATTGATGCTATTTAATTTAAGACCAGTGTGAAAAGCCACCTAAAGATGGCTTTCTGTTTTTTTTTTTTTTTTTTGGTTTTTTTTTTTTTAAATTAAAAAGAAAAGAAAATAAAAAAAAAATTTTTAAAAAAAAAAAAAAAATAAAATTTTTTTTTTTTTTTTTTTTTTTTTTTTTTTAAAAAAAAAAAAAAAAAAAAAAAAAAAAAAAAAAATTTTTTTTAAAAAAAAATAAAAAAAAAAAAAAAAAAATATTTTTTTTTTTTTTTTTTTTTAAAAAAAAATAAAAAAAAAAAAAAGATTTTAAAAAAGAGAAAAAATTTTTTTTTATTTTTTTTCCCCCTCCCTAAATTTAAAAATTTATAAATTTTTTAATATTTTTTTTTTTTTAAATAAAATAAAAAAATTTTTTTATTTTTTTAAAAAAAAGAGGATTTTTTTTTTTAAATTTTATTTTTTTTATAATTTTTTTTTTTTTTTTTTTTTTTTTTTTTTTTATTTTTTTTTGTTTAATTTTTTTTCCAAAACCCTTTTTTTTTTTTTTTTTTTTTTTTTACGCATAAAACTACCCCGGAAAAAGTGGTTTTGAAGAAAAAAGTGCCTCCCAACTGATGTAGTACCAATGTTAAAGGTAAACTAAATTGTCTTTTTGCAGTTGATTCACGTGTAAAAGACTGAAATTCAGCTTTGAAATGATCTCTTTGTTTCTTTTTTGAAAACTTATCGTAAAACATTGAAGAATCAAACGCTATGATGATCGTTATTCATTTTTTGAATCATCTACGACAAATCATTTATCCGGATGTCCAAATAACCGTGTACTCTTCAGTCCAAGCGGCACAAAGGGCCTGATTGTGTTTCGTGCAAAAGCCGAAATTTGAAGCGCCGGCTGCCTAAAGAGAGAGAGATCTCTAAATGATTTACAGCCAGCCATAGCACAGTTTTTATTGCTAAAAATCTAAATCCACACTCACTTTACAACATTGAACCATCCCAGCTATCGGTGTCTTTGATGTACAATGTTTATTGCATTGTGGAGTGGGACGAATGTAATCATAACGGATGATTGATGAAGAGAGAAGACCTGAGAACTTTAAATTCTTTAATTTTAGGCCAATTTCACATTCTTTCCCTTCCAGCTACAAGTTAAAACTTTTATGTGCACAAAATTTATTTTTGAGTTTTGAGTTGATTGATTTTCAAAGCAAGATCACCAAGAGGCTGGGGTTAGCCTAGAGAACTTGTAACTCTTCTAAAATAGTTTATGCTAGGCTAGGGTAAATAAGTTTTAGGTTAAAAATCAATTGCTTCATATGGGGGTTCTCATAAATCATAAGTAAAGCTATTGGGTTGGTGAATTGAAAACTGCAAGACTTTGAACTAAAATTTATTCAACATAAAACCATCAATTCATTCCAAATAATTTCCATTCTTATTGACGACTTCTACCCATTTTACAGGCAATTTGCGGATTCCTCTTTCGTAGTAGGATTTTGGTTTGTGTGTGAGACAAGTGTGAGACTCAGAAATCGAGGACTAGAGATGTCCCAGTTTGAGCACTTTCTTCAAAAGAAACCCATTTTGGTGTCAATAGAAAAGTTGTAGAAAGAATCAAAAATTAGGCTTATAGCCAAATTCCCAAAAAGATACACTTAGTAGTTTCGCTTAAAATGCAAGTTTTGTGAAAATTCGTAAATTTGGCATTTCTTGAAAACCAGTTTTTGAATCGTTCTGAAAATTTGGATATAAGCTTGATTTTTGATTCTCTACAACTTTTCTATTGACACCAAAATGGGTTTCTTTTGAAGAAAGTGCTCAAACTGTCACATATGAAAATAGCCCGCAGTTTTCAATTCACCAATCCAATATATTCTCTTGTTAAAGAAGTACTACTGTGTGCTCGAAAAGCTTTTTAAAAAATCCATTTGGAAACGGGAAATTGCACAATTAGAGTTCAGCTTCAGGACAAAACGATCACTCACCAAAAAGAAGCACAAAAGTAGCTAGAAGACTAAACGAGTAAGTGGACATTGAAATGACCAAATCATTGAACTATTCGTTCCTTTATACAAAGCCGACAATTCAGCTAGACTTTAGTTGTCGGATGACAGGGAAAGAGACGAAAAGTCCAATCAAATGATCGTGGGAAGCTTTTTCAACAATGAAATCAAAACATTTATTGAAACTTTTGCATTGTCATGAGGATTTGCAATCCACCCACGACTTCTGGTCACTTTCAAAAATGTTCTTTGGCTACATTTGACTAGAGTTCGTGCCTCTCAAACAAGGCGTTCTAAAAAGCGCGCAAACTATCGTAGTTTGCATGCTAATTTGTATAAATGCAAATTAAGCAAAATCTTCTAAAGCATGCTTTTGCACATTCTCTTTATTTTAATGAAATTCTTTCAAACTAATAATTTTGTAATTTAGAATTGATAGAAAAATTGTACACGTATTCATTAGAGACAGTAAGGAAAATGGCAAGTTCAAAAGGTTCAGTAATTACCGTAAATACTGTAATAGTACCCCACCCCCATAATGACGGTGCGGAGTGTTGCGTAGTCTAGCTTTGAACGAGGTTTTCTCGACACTGGTTTATGCTACAATGCGCGCTTAGGTATCAAAAAATAGCCCTGAATTTCAGCTATTTTTTGATACCAAAGACGCATTTTTTGAAAGTACAGGCGCTTTGAAAAAAATGAAATACTAAAACTTTTGCGACTACGCGACTGTACGAGGGTGGTGGGGTACTATTACAGTTTAGGGTATGTCTTTTTATAACAAGAAACTTTATTTTAAGAAAATCCCATCACCAATAAGGAAACTAACTTCCGTAGTTAAATTGATTAAATTAGTAAATCATATGGTTAAATATACCCGAGCTAAGCGTAATCTTTACCCGCTTACGTTTAATATTGCCATGTTTTATCACTTACGGGTAGTTTATATTGAGTTAAGCTCTTTAAATTCTAATATATTTATTAGAAAAAGCATTCGAAAATGTTTTAAACACTTTTAAACACTCTAGACTAAAGGAAATTGAAGAATGAAAAGAAAATGTGTAGTAGCGTTTATGTACTGGATTGCCCGAGATACAGGGTGAGTCATAATTATTGCAAGAAGAGTTCAAAGACCGTTTTCCAAACAGGAAAACGGGCGTGTCATGGGCGTGTAAAGCCAATAACAATCAAAATTGGACCTTCATGCAAGATGAAGCTCCCGCTCACACGAAGAAGACGGTTCAGGACTGGTGTGTGGCCAACTTTCCCTCAGTGATCACCAAGGATGAATGGCCTCCAAACTCACCGGATCTCAATGTGATGGACTTTTCCATTTGGGCAATCTTAGAGGAAAACACACAAGTTTGGATTCTTTGAAGAAGTCTTTGACCAAAGGATGGAAGGCGACTCCTCAAGATGACATTCGGGCCGCAGTGGAGGCATATCCGAACCGATTAAGCGCTGTTATCAAGGCAAAAGGCGGTCATATCGAATGATCTGGTGTTTCCTTATTTGTTACTGTTAAATAAAGCTATTTCTGTTTAAAAATCTTCTTCCAGTGAAACTTCTTGGTGTGCAATGCCTTGAGTATCTTGTTGCAATAATTATGACGCACCCTGTAGGTTCACTTTAGAACGCCTTGTTTGATCTTTGTTTGCCCAAATTTATTCAAATAACTCTTTTTTTGAGAGGCACACACTCTATTTGTGATATGAAAAGAAAAGAAAAACGGGAAAGTTTCATATTAAAATCTATCTTTTATCGACATCGGAGTTTCATTGTTTTTTTCTGATACAACTTCGAGCAAACTCTTCTCCTGTGATTCAAGTGTCATCGAAATTCTCTCAACAACAAAATGTAAATAATATTGAGGGACAATTTGTAAGTCATCTCTTGCTGGATCAATATCATTTTGTTTTGCTGTGACATTGGCAAATGCAAGGGTGTCTCGATGCATCGTAAGTCCCTCTTCACCCTCAAGAGTCGGTATTTGAATCCAAAGTCTTTCTGGATCACTGCGAACACGTGCAAAGAGAAAATAGTTTGGACATCCGAAATAGTGCTCCAAATGCGATTTAAGGATTCCTAAAGCTTTTTTGTTCACAACTTTATCTACGCTTATTCCTTCCATTATTCGAAAAAACCAATCATAAACTTCATGTAGCTCTGCGTAGCGATTGATTATTGTTTGTTGCAGATTTGAGTCACGAAATAGTGGAACTCTCGTTAAATTATTCCCAAGACGGTAACGATAGTGCACGAATGGGGTCTCTTCGCTCAGTTTCCACATTTGAAGCAGAGTCGACCACAAAGCATCACTTTGGCTCAAACTTCTTTCATTTATAATTGTAGTCAATCTTTCAGTAAACATGCTTAAGATCATGTCAATACTGAAACCAGTCAATTGCAAGAAGGGATATTTCTTTAATTGTCCAACTGTAATTCGATGACGTTCATCAATTGCAAATTCCAGAAACTTAAAATCAGTCTGAAGAGCAAAAACTTTATCGGCTTCTGGCAAAAGTTTTTCGTTTTTCTCTGAGAGTACAAAATAAAGCGGTCCAGTTGTTGCTTTGCAGAGAAAGATGTTGAACCAAATATTGAGCTCATCAGTTTTCAAAATCTCATTTCTTATTGCAATGATTTCTTCGAGAATAAACAACAAGTCGTTTCTGAGAAAATTTATACTTTTTGTTTCGATGCTTTCAATTGCATTAGCCGTTTTTAAAATGATAGCTCGGTATTGTGAATGCAACGATTGAACTAGTTCAATGTAAAGTCGATTGCATTTATCCACGAGCTTTTTTGTACTTTCACTCAAGTGCTTTTCCATCGAAGGCTTCACTCTGAAGAATCTACTTGTCTCGTTTTTGTAAGGCACGACGTTGATATCGAAAGCGTAGTCATTGTGAAAGCCCGCATTGATTTCCCCATCCCAAAGTCCTTCATTTTGTAAAGCTAGCTGTAGCTGAAACAATAGCTCTTGCAATTGGTCAAGAGTTTCGAGTTTTTCAACAAAGAGCTCGCTCGAATTGGCAATCAAACTGTCATTTGGAGAAAGAGAGCTATTTGTAGAAATAGATTTATCACCCTGAACTACGAATAGAGGTTCACTTTTTGAAAAACTCACTAGATTCGTTACTATTGTTAAAATGATGACACCTGCAGCGATTATGCCGGAAAAAATGAAAGTCCAAAGCAGAAACTGAAACTAAATAGCGTTCTTTTTATCTTTTTAACTGACTTACGGGCAACTTTTTGCTCTTTTTCCTCGCTTTATCTTCAAACAAAAACGTTTCTCTTTCAGCATTTTGAAGTTCGAAACTTGTTTCTTTCATTTCTGAGTCAACTTTTGGTAGAATTTTCACAGGTATCTTAATATCAGTTGGTTTGTAAATTTTACCAAACAAACCCTTTCCGTTGTACCATCAAAGCCTACTGGTTTCACCACGTTGACTTGTGTTTTATCAATCATCGGCTCAAAGAGATCAACTTCGACTCGCTAAAAACCTTTGTTAAAGCTATCTTTGGTACTTATGCATCTGGCGGGCGCATTTCCGAACAGTTCGAACGGTTGAACAGTGCAGGCCAAACACTTGCAGGTCGAAAACTTGCCAGGTCAAACACTTTCAAAAGTTTTTGTCGAACGACCGAACATTTGCAAAAAAATTTACCAAAAACACCTTTCAAAAATATCATTGAAGCAATAAAATAGAATATAGAAATATACATTTGTTTATTGCTACAAAAGTACAGTCGTCTCTCTAAAAAGGTATGGAAGGGACCAAAAAAAATTTTAGTTATATAGAGTACTGTTTTATATAGCTTAGCGTCGGCCGGGACCAAAATTCCACTCCGTTATATAGTTCTCGCTATATAGAGTTTCGTTACAGAGAGAGTCGACTGTATATTGCTATATTGCTATATGGTATATTGTATTGTATTATATGTTTTTTTGTTGAATATAAATGCATATTAATAACAAAAAAAACTTCAAATAACAGTGCTTAATGCGTTGCCGTTCGTTGCGTTGCAGAAATGCGCCCGCCAGATGCATAAGTACCCTATCTTTTATGAGCACCTTTTTAAGCCACTCAAGAACTTCAGTACACTCATCGATATTTAATCGCTTCTCTGGGTGAACATTTGTACATCTAAATTTGAATTTCAACTTATAAAAATCCCCAAACCTAGCAACCACATCACTGAATTTTTCATCAACGCAATCAACTTTTGATAAGGAATATTGCCCATGCCATAATTTTTTAAAGAAATCATATTCTTTGAGCACTTTAGAAGATGAGAAGTCAGAATAGACTAATCTAAAATCGCTTTTAAACTGGGGATAGACTTCTTTTAAACCTCCGTTCAACGATCTCCCATAGTACTAGACCAATTGAGTACAAATCTGTTAATGGTGTTACCTAAAGAACACTTTCAGCTTTTAGTAAACAGAAACTCAACCAAGCGTTGATTCGGATATCCATAAGCTTCGGGACTCATATAACGAAATGTTCCAGCAAGTGTGATTGTTGTTGTTAGAGAATTTGGATCTAATAAACGAACAGAACCAAAATCACCCAATTTCAGAATGAAATCACGAGTGACAAGAACACTAAAAAGCATTAAAACAAATAAATTCATAGATCAATTCATTGTAATGCAAAGGGCTGTTCCAAGTGAGCCAAAAGCCAAAGGACCAAGATAAATTAGCCTTAGGAACAGCCCTGGTAATTGAATTGAACAGCTTCTGAATTGAATCGATTAAATGAACATTAATGAATAAAAATTGAATAATTTGTCTAAGAGCTTTCAATTTATCCCACACAAAACAACAACAACACTCACTTGCTTGGTTTAATATCTCGATGAACAATTCCAACTTTCTGTAGACAAAGAAAAGCATCAAGTAAATGCTTTGACCAACCATAAACTGTTTGCATGGAATAAATAATCGATGGATCTTTTAAAACTATAAAATCGAATTCTTTCCTTTTCAATTTCTAACTAGGAAAGGCGGCCGGCTCAAGGTGGGATTTCTAAATGGGACCTAAACCATCTTATGCAGTTTTACACGGGGAATCCGATGTTGCTTTTAGATTTTCCTAAATGGCACGCAAAGAGAAAACAAAACAGTGAAAACATTAAGATAAATGAAAAGCAAAAGCTTTTGCTGCAAAAGGAATTGAACCTGCGCAAAAAAGCGTAACTTGTTTCAGAGACAAACCTTTTATCAACTAGGCTACCACGGCATCTGTTAGAGAAGTGTGTGCGCGTTTTTGCCTTCCTCTACAGATTATTACTCAATCGGATTTGATTGGAACGATTGGAAAATTACTAGAAATACAAAATAAAACCAGTCTAGAGAAAAATAGTACGCAAACTTTCTAGCTTTGCCAAAAACGTTTTTGTTAAATATTTCGGGCTTGCGTGTCATTTAGAAAAATCTAAAAGCAGCATCGGATTCCCCGTGTAAAACTGCATAAAATGGTTTAGGTCCCATTTAGAAATCCCACCTTGAGTCGGCCGCCTTCTCTAGCAAGAAGACAAACCATCACTTAATGATTTCCTTTCACAATATTCCATCTCAATCACATTATAATCTCCAATTTCTTTAAATCCGAAATATTGAACAATATTTGGATGTTGAAATCTCTCCAAAGCTTCACATTCTTTTCGAAATGTTTCATCATCTGTTTGTGGGCTCTTTAGAATGTACTTGGCGGCTTTTTTGCTGAAAATAACCATAAAATGAGAAAGATTTAGCTTTTTTTTGATTATTAAACATGTTCTAAATAACAAAAGTAACTACAAAGACAACTTACGAATATTCTCCAACTAACACGACAAAGCCGTAGCTTCCATTTCCAATAACTTTTGACGGATCAATATTCATTCGGAGAAAGTTTTTATAACTTGGAGTCGAGATTTACAACAAGGATCATTCTCAGAAAAGATTAGATCAAAGAGAAAATCAATTCGTCGGTTCTTTTCCTTTTTCATTTAGTCCCTTTTTTTTCTCGATTTTGAGAGAAATCTTTGCACAAAAAAAAAAATGACTTTTTTTTATTGGTACTGTCTAAAGTCATAAAAGTTTAAAAAAGCTCTGTTTTATCTTTTATGTTGTAATCAAGCTCTTTAATGTATTCTTTTACAAAGCAGTTACTGTGTGTATTCATTGCAATGCTTGAGTTGAAAAACAAAAAATACTTTAATAGCTACAAAGTTTGCGTACTATTTTTCTCTATACTGATTTTATTTTGTATCGATGATCTTTCTAGTAATTTCCCAATCGTTTCAATCAAATCCGATTGAGTAATAATCTGTAGAGGAAGGCTAAAGACGTCGACATCATCACGTTTCACTTTCATCTTTGTAAATTTGTAGTCAAGTGTCATTGTGAGCACTTCTTCATCGTCATAAGTTGGAAATTGTAGGAGTAGCTGTTGAACATTTGATTGTAACTTTGCGAATAAGAAGTAGTTTGGGCACTCAAAAACTTGTTGCAAAGCTGCTTTTAAACTTTTGAATGCCGCGTTGTCTATAAGCCCTGTATCATCCGAGTTTTGCATCAAAGCGAAAAATGTTTCAAAAAGTTGGTGAAGTTCGCCATAAGCTTGTATCGTTTCTTTTTTCACGATGGAAGATGATTTTTGGAATATGGGATCATTAAGCAAATTGTGGCCAAGATGAAAACGATATTGTACAAAAGGATACTCTTCACTTTGTCGTAAAAATTTGCGAATTGAGGTTCTTAAAGATGAGACTGGGACATTCTTTGATTCTTTTATTTTGAGAAGTTGACCCACTAACATGATAAATAAAAGATCGATTCGAAATCCACGAAGTACGTTGAATTTGAACTTTTGCGTTTCGCTTTGTTTTTTGAGTGACCGCAAACGTTCACTGAATTCTGATGATAGAATTTTTGTGACCGTAAAGTCTGTTCCAAGTAACAGGACATCTGTTTCCACTGAAACCAAAAAGTATCCGGTGCTTTGTTCTTTGAAAAAGATTATATCGAAATCAATGCCACGAACGTCTACTTTTGACAAATCATTTCTCATTTGAAAAATTTGCTCGAGATCGGATGACAAGCCAGCTTTAACGTAGCCTAGTCCTTCTTTTTCAACCGATATCATTGTTTCAAAAATTTTGAAAAACAAATTTCTATGTAGTGAATGGATGAGTTGCACCAACTCAACGTATAAAAGATCAAATTCACGAAGAAGACCGCTCAGTTTTTCGTCTAATGTTCCATTGGTTGGTTGATAAACTACGAAAGAGTTTTGTTGACCATTAGCGTATGGTTTCTCATCGAGATCAAATAAATACTCCGGTCTTATTATTGCATTGATTTCATGTTCTGGTAGTGCCAGTTTTATATCACTCAGTGCTTTGAGTAATTTGTAGCCAATCGTGAGGTCAACTGCAGAGATCAACGTTTGATTATTTGTTGTCCATTTCGTGAAAATGGCATCATTGCTAGCATTTTGCGAAATTGATTGGTTTGGGAATGAATTTCTTAGATCCTAAACCATTGATTCAAGAGTATTTCTAATGAAACTCACTCCAGAAGCAACAAAGTTCCAAATGAACATCAACAATGCAAAGGTGATACATGAAAGTAGCATCCATAGAAACAAACAAAGCATTCGCTTGTTGACTTTTCGACTTTCATGTTCACTTCCGTCATTAACCAAAAATCTTTCCTCTTCATTCATTGGTCTCGAATTGTTGCTCGAATTGTTGCCTTTCGCTAAAGTCACTTCAATCATTTGCCTCCTTTTACTCAGAGTTTTCGATTTTGTGGGTGTTTTTGTTGATTTTAAGTTGAAACTCAAGGAGTCAAACACTGTGCGATCAACGGCTGGAACCTGAAAAATAGTTGTTTAATTGAATTTTGAGACCTTTTGACTTTAGGGATCTTTTGACTTTAGGATGCTTTTGGATTTATTTGGATTTTGGATTTACACCTCGGTTTTGGGCCGAGACCTAACACATTTTGTTCAGTTTTTTTGCGCTGATTTCGATGGTGTATGTCGTTTGGGTATGATGGTTCTAAAATTTTGAGATATTTCCCTTCAAAGTTTACGTCAAAATTGGGCATCCACGAAACCATGCACCCACGAGTCATAAGGATTCTACAGAGGCTTGTAAACGTGAACTCGTGGCCTAGTGGATAGTGGCCTAAAGCTCTTTCTCTTTTGTTTCTGGTTTAGATTCGACTGCGGCTCAACTTTTTGCTATTGCTAAAAACTGTTTAAATAATTTTTTTCCAGGCTTCTTGGCTATCTCAATATCGCATAACGTTTATTTTACTCATAGCTGTTATGTGTTTACTCAGAGTTGTTTTTTGTAAAGTTGCATGTTCAATTTTGACGTAAACTTTGAAGCGAAATATCTCAAAATTTTAAAACCGTCAACCTCAAAATTTTAAAACGACATACACCATCGGAATCAGCGCAAAAAACTGAACAAAATGTGCTAGGTCTCGGCCCAAAACCGAGGTGTAAATCCAAAAGCATCTCTAGTTAGAGAATATGCAGTCCCGAACAAGAGAGTTTCGTTCAACACTGGAGTAAAAGGTCATCACTTTGAAGTTTACACATACAGGTAACCTTTTGAACTTTCTTGCTAGTTGAAAAATGACTCTTCAAAGAGGTTGTTTTCAAAAGAAGTCTTCTGTTCTTTTGTTGCAAAGCTTTAAAAGCATGTTTGGGCACTTGATAGACACGATTTTTGTCATTGTGGACTATTTCAAAACTCAAATGGTAAGTTCGGAAGATTTCTAGAAATAAACCCATTGCTTTGTGCCATCAAATCCGATAGGTCTAATCAAAACATTTTGTGTTTCGGCAAGCAACGGCTCAACCAGATCATCTTTAGCTTGCTGTAATTGCTTTTTTTAAGTTCACTGATCCATTAAACACCTCAATCAACCACTCGATACTTTGAGCACACTCATCAAGATTCGGCCGTTTCCCTGGGTGAATATTTGTGCATCTAGGTTGATGGGTTTTTTTTTACTTGAAGCATGAATGCACATCCGCGCGAAAACTGGAAAAATGGGTTCGCCGTTAGTTTGCTTCCTCATATCCACTATTTGATGCAAAAAATTTTAAGTTCTATTCTTTTTACTGATTAAACCGAATCCAAAAAATTTTTTGAAAACTGTTTTACAGAATTTTTTAAAATCGCAGAAAACCAAAAGAGTTGATCATTTTCAATGGGAACGGCCAAACCTACCTCCATTTAGAGAGCCAAATCTCGCCAACAAAGTAAAATGTGAAAATTCCGGATAGTTTAAATACGCTTACTAATAAACTAATACAATACTAATAAAAATACTAATAGAAAGTCTCAAGAAAGACCGTTCTATTAGTATTTTGTTCTGGAAATACGGTATTTTATCCACGCTTTAGCGGGTAAAATGTCGAAAATAGCACCCTTCAAAATGCCACGAGTTTTTCAAGGATCGATCAATTTTTATGTTTTTGGTTTGAAAATGACCGCAAGACTCTCGTGCATAAAAGTTACTATCCGGAATTTTCCCATTTTACTTTGTTGGCGAGATTTAGCTCTCTAAATGGAGGTAGGTTTGGCCGTTCCCATTGAAAATGATCACCTTTTTTGGTTTTCTGCGATTTAAAAAAAATCTGTAAGACGGTTTTCAAAAAATTTTTCGGATTCGGATTCAGCGCATTTTTTGCATCGAATAGTGGATATCGGCAAGCAAACTAACGGCGAACCCATTTTCACGCGAATGTACAAACCTGATCACTAAATCTTTCAATTTCCTATCTGTACACTTGATTTCTTCCAGTGAATATTTCCCGTGCCACAAATCATAAAAAAAATCATACTCTTTGAATATTTTTGAAGTAGAATAGTCCGAATGAACTAATCTGTAAATATAACTTTGTTTGG